ACAAAGTATATATGTACATTAATTAAAAGCAATATATTGGTATGAAACTTTTAATAAGCTATTAATTTATATTCGTCATTAATTAAGAACGTTTTTACCTACAGTATCCAATGCCAATTAATTTTACGTTATCTGCTATAAAATCGATTTCACATTAAATTCAAATGAATGCGATATGGGTACATGTGTACCTCCCAATGTCTTTTTCTATTTTTTTTTTTTTTTTTAAGATAAAAATTTAAACATCAAAAATCCTTTTTCAAAATTTGGATTTTTTTTCAATATTATATTCCGAATCAAATCCTATTTCGTCGTTTTTTTTCAATAAGTTTGAATACCCAAAAGTTTAACCCAATTTTTTTTGTTGAAATTTTCCTTTTGAAAAAAGAAGTGAAAAAAAAGAATATTCCAAATTGTGTAACAACCAGCACTTTCACCTGCGTGTGCAAACAGATTTGTATATTGTTGCGCGCATACCCAAAACTAAGAATGGTTACCCTTTGAAAAAAAAAATTACCGTTACGTATATTTCTGAAAATCTTCAAGAAAACGGTACTTAACCACAAAGCGTTCCCTGCAAAAAAAAACAAAACAAAAAAAATTGCGCAAATACACAGGTTCACAGTTATACCAAAAAAAAAATTGGGTTAATCTGACTTTTCCAAAACTCCCTCTTGTTAACCATTTAAAAATGTATTTCAAGTTCGAAAAATGAGTGAAAGTAAAATTTTAGTTATATATTCTACTATTCTTGTTGCGTCCACTCTTGTGTCTACCTGTAGTCCCTTTTTTTTCCATCACTTGGTTTTCTGTCAATGAGGATAGTAATAAAAATTTTCCCATCCGTATACCTTTTATAAATATATATATATATATTGCATTCTGACCATTTTGCTACCGAATATTACAGAAAAAACAAATCATGCCGTGAACTATAAATCAGATTTGATAATTATTCTCCAATAATATAAATCAAAATTTACAATTTTAAATTATTATTATTAGAAGCATTTAAAAAAAAGGAATCAATAATATTTTACATATGTTATTTCAATTAAAATTAGATTTCAGGTTATACTGCGCATGCGCTTCTTTAATGGAGTAAGGCGAAAAGATATATTGCTCGCGGTCACTCTCATGTAAAATTGACACATGCGCAGTAACTTCTAGCGCCATAGTTAAAATAACTATTCCACAAACATAAAATATTACACCGAGGGGCTTTTCGCACTTTGAATTCATGTATTATAATAACTAAATTATTATTATTATTAATTATTTTTAATATTATTCTGAGCGGCTTCGGGTTCTGTAGAATTTATTGCATTTTAGTGATTACATAACTAATTTATTAATTAAATTATTAATTATTCAATAATAAAAAAATTAATCGGTATTTTAAATCGGGAGACATTTTTCATCATAGTGTCATAGATGGGTCGCTTAATAAATTTCTCGTAAGTCACTTTTCTCTATATCACTCGACCCAGAAAGAAGGTAAAGGGTAATCCAATAAAGATCCATTTAGCAAAGAGATCGATTGTAATTTACCCTCTCGCGAGCACAAGGTTCGAGAATATATCAACTTTTTGAAAAGTTGATTGAAATTTCCCTCTCTCTCTCTCTATCTTTCATTTTTCTCTCTCAATTTTCTATATTAGAATAGTTGGTTAAAATTCGTGTAAAATCTTCACCCAAAAGGAATATGTATACCTGTACAATATCTCCTTCTCATGCTCATAACAATGAACCCCTCTGAAGAATTCTGTCCAAATATTGCCGCACTGTTAACAAAATTTCTCCGCCCACTTCTATTGAAAAATTCTCATTTTAATTATAAATTAGGCTTAATATTTCTCTTGAAACTATATAGTTATACCGAAAAGGGATATATTATATGTCAGGACGCAATTTTATTGCAAATTTTATTATATAAAAAAAGCGTTTATGGGAGCAATAAATAATTTACGATAGATTTACAATAATCTCTTTAGGGTATATATTCTCCTGGGGGATTTTTGTAAAATTCAATATATGATATAATTTGACTAGTAAAAACAAAATAATTTTCTTAGCCCTTGCTTCTTGTTGTATAATGTATTTATGGACTATTATCTATTGTATTATGAAACACCAAACGCCTAAGAAAACAATTTTAATAACTCTATTAAGTTTTCATAAATATCATCTCATATATATTATATTTACTTATTTTATTGGTGAAAAATATTAATTTTAATAAATATTACTTGGTATTTTTGTAAATTAAATAATTTTTTCTTTATATATATATATAAAACTTCCCGTTTCGAAAGTCAATCATCATTTATTATTTCCCTATTTACGTACAAGGTCGTGAAAATTGCCAATAAACGAAATCTGTTTATGTATAAAGATTCGACCTTGTAAAGAGATTATGATTCAGAGAAAGGGTTGGTTTACATTTTAAAAGGCTCAGCATGAGATAGAGCTATATACAATTTATAAATATACCAGTTAACCCTTTTACGCCTTTACAGGTTTTTGACGCATTATGCCGAGAGCAACCTGATTTATCTCTTCCTCTTTCTAAAATTTCTGCCATTTAACATAAAATTTTCGTTTCTTTAAATATATACATATTCCTCAGAATTGAAGAAAGAACAAAAATTACGTCATTTATTAGCATAAAATTATATTTTAAATATTCCATTTGAAGAAACAAAAAAAATTAACGGGAAATTTTTTTTCCTCCTCAAAATTGAAGAAATGAAGAAACAAAAAAAAGAAGAAAATACAATTTCATCTCTGTGCAAAATATATATGTATAAATATTTAGTTTATTAACAATTTTTCTATGAATTTTTTAAAAAACAAATTTCTTTTTTTAATTTGACAACAAAAAAAAAAGTGTACCTCTTTTCTCGCTTACAATTTTAAATTACTGACACAAAAAAAACGAAAAAAAAAAGTTGTACTGAAAATATAAGTTATGCATGAAAATAAAAACTTATTTACAGAGATATATGAATACTGTATATATATAAATTTTCAAAGAGGTATTTCGTTGCGACATGAATTGCAAAATTTGTAAATTTTTGCATGCAATCACATGTATATTAAATTTTATTATTTTTTGTTTTTAAATATAGTTAAATAGTTTTATTTCTATATGTATACATGAGAGATTTCATGTGTATCAAATATAACAATTTTGATTCATGACCTATAATTACGTAATAATAATTACTTATTACTAGAATTATTATCATTTAGAAAAATTAATAATCTACTTTTTTGTTTTCCTTTGAATTTTACAATACGCTCTATATAGACATAATTTATATTAGTTAAACAAAAGAATAATAATTATGGGAGGAAAAAGGACGACGGTAATGATGGAATTTCGCGCAATTAAAAATGGGGAAGGCCACAGTGAACATAAAAATATAACCTAAATTTTCATAATGCATTACTAAATGGTCTGGTATTGTGTATTTGACATCCGTTATGAAGCACAGGTATATTAAAGTTTATAGTCTAATATATATAGATTGACAAAAGATATGCAATTATGAGATAAAATGTAATTTACGAGGTTTCCTCTAAAAACTGGGAGCTCAGAAAATTAAAAATTTTGTTAAATAAACAATATAATATTTACTGCATTTCTATATATATAGTTTTGGCGTCCAAACAACTCTTTTGTCTTAGGATGACACTTTGTAATACTCAGCTGTACATTGTTTTCAATTTTACAGAAGAGGAAATATTATATAATTTTACGTATATATATATTCAGTTGCATATTATTGCTCATAATTATCTTCTCAGCGCCAGATCAAGAGGCGGAGCACAGTCACCACAGGCATCAAATTTCGGCAGGCGCCAAAAATTTAAGAACCCGAAAAAAAATTATTGAAAATGTTACTAAAGTAAAATTTACATAAATTTTTATTAATTACAATATTTTTTTTTACTATTTCCAAAGCAAAAGTTTACAGAAATGTACAGAAAGTTCTGACAGGATTTTACTTTGATAAAGTATATAGTAAAAATTACTTTATTTTTCTTTGTACTTTTTTTTAATAATATTAATAAAATAGGTGTTAAAATTTCCATTCACGTTATTAAAAATAATAATAAATAAATGCGTGTGAATTTTATACAATCATATTATGGAAAATTCATACATATGTACAAAGGTTACTGAAAATCCAATATATATAGTTCTATTCTTGTAAATTACTTTGACCGCATACAGTTATTGAAAATCGTTGCTCAATATTTTGTGTGGCGAATGGAGCAAAAAAAAAATATTTATTTGTCAATATTTGAAGATATATAGAAACAAAATTTTGAAGGAAAAATTATAATTTTCTTATGTCTTTGTAAATATTTTCATTATTTATAAAAATAAAAAAGAAAAGAAAAAATTTTCAGAAAAACTACTGTCTCAGAAATTAACTTTATTCATAAAATGATCATTTTTTTAAAAGTAAAATATTAATTTTTTGAAAAATACTTAATTTTTCTTTAAAAAAAAAAAAAACTGTGTGAAAGAAAAACTGGTGAAGAAAAAACATTTTTTGTTTTAAAAGAACTATATAACACAAAGCATTCAGTGTGACTTTTTGTTTGATCGCAGTTGAAAGTTCTTGTTTCACTATTTGACCTACAGACATTTTTTTGCATATACAGAAAAATACTTCAACTTTAAAAGGAAAAAAGTTTTAGGTAAAAAAAAGTAAAAAATTTGGCGTACGGGGCGTTTTGAAAAAAAATTTACTGTCACAGCAAACTTTTCTGACCCCACTGCAAATTTGTTCGCTTTCCCTATATATTAACTAACATAATTTAATGTGACAGGAAATTTTTTCTATGCATATGTTTGCGATTTTTTTATTTGTACAAAACCTCCTGCTGTCATAGTAAGAGAACATCTTTACCCAATCATCATCATCATCATCATCGTCATCAATCTTGCATTGATCATAACAAAACTAAAAAAAGATTGAAATCAAACTTTCTGGTACTGAATATAATATTCGGAAATTGATGACATATGATTCATCAAAAAACTAGGATGTAACAGTGGAAGAGGGAGAGAGAAAGAGAGGTGAAGAAACTCTGATGAAAGGAAGTAATCCGACGGCATGCTGTGTATCATAAGTTGTTAAGGTTTTGAACACGTGCGCGATCCACGGTGGCGTCGCGTGGTTCATAGTAGGTACGAAGAAGTAGAAGAAGAAGAAGAAGGTAGGCAGGCTGATGAGAAGGTGGAGGCATAAGGAAGCACGGGACTCTTTGGCACAAGCCACCTTCCCAAGCAACCCTTCGCGAGGAAGCAAGTATACCTAAGCCCCTTGGTTAGGGGTGAAGGCGGCCAGCCGCGGAGGCCACAACACGACCACCGTCCTCATTGGTCGGCGCGTCGTGTCTGGGTGGGGCTCCGGAAAAATTGGAGGGGAGAAAAATCCCCTCTAAATAGCTGTGGCTCCAGCCACGAAAAACTAGAATCCGCTCAGCCGGCATCGAGAGTGTGTGTCGGTTCAATTTTTGTCTTCCTCTGCCTTAATCATATATATATATATATAGTTATACCAGCTTCAAAGTTTGAAAATTTTTTTTTAGTTTTGAAGTGTAGTTTGCTTAACGAGTGAAAAAGTGAATTGAACTTAGTGTTGTTTCTCTTAAAAAACTGAGGATTTACAGTTTTTTTTTTCTTTCGTTTTTTGATTTTACGTTGGACTAAGGTGTTTTTTGATTGTGCTATTCGCGCCATAGGATGCATCTACCGGAAGGACCAATCGGGATGGAGAGCTTCAGCGCCATCCACGATGCACTTAGAGCTTGCCATGGTGATTTAGTGCAAACCGGAAGTCCTGCAATTCTCTGCAGTGTATTACCAACACATTGGAGGTCGAACAAATCTTTGCCAGTTGCATTCAAGGTCGTTGCACTTGACGAGGTCACCGACGGTACCATCGTCACTATTCGTGCTGGAAACGATGAAAATTGCTGCGGCGAACTTAGAAATTGCACTGCTGTGATGAAAAATCAAGTTGCCAAGTTTAATGATCTTCGATTTGTTGGACGAAGTGGAAGAGGTGTGTCATCAATTTTTTTTTTGCCTCTATTACAAAATAAATTTTATTTTTGAAACTGAATTTTCTAAACTTCAATAAAAGTTCAGTAATGAATGTTGTAAATGTTTAGTAACATCTAAACGTTCAGTAGTTAATTCCTGGGTTCTAAATTTTCGAATGTTCGGTACTAAATGCCCAAGCGTTTGGTACTGAAAGTTTGAACGTTCAGTACTGAATGCCTGACCGTTTAGTATTTCTAAATACTTTTAATCTTTTTCTACAATGACTCATTTTGCTTCATAATAAGAATTATCCAAACATTCATGAGTCATTTTGCAAGAAGAAAAAAATTGTAACTTCTTGGAAAATTAAGTGAATGATGATGGGAGAAATTCCTTGGATACTTCTTCTTCTTCTTTTTTTACAAGTGTGTCTAACAAAGATTCGTTTCCTTGCTTTCAGGAAAATCGTTTTCCCTCACAATACAAATCAGCACGGTGCCTTTCCAAGTGGCAACGTACACGAAAGCCATCAAAGTCACCGTTGATGGACCACGAGAACCACGATCCAAGTCAAGTAAGTTTCTTATCCATCTTCTTAAACAATACTTTTTTTTACCCAATTATTGTAATAATTACTATACTCAATTTTGAAAAGCAGTCAAAAAAAAAAATTATAAAATAAATTTCTTGAGAATTTGAAAAACGGTGCGTGACCATCCGAGAATCCACAAACGGGTGTTGGAAGCTTCACGACGTTTAATAATCCGGTATATAGCTGGCGGACCTCAAACCGCCAGCCGCGGTGGTCAGAGCTTTGGTGTTCACAAACGTTGCTGTCTCTCCTCAACTCATGAGCTTTCTGTCCTTTATTTACACACACGTTCGTTCACATATTATTAACTTCAATATTTTTTTTTTTTTTTCCTAACAAAAATTCTTCTATACTTTTATCATTTATTTAAAACGAATTTTAAATATACCTTGACACAATTTTACAACATTTACAAAACAAGGGGGAGAACACTTGGCAAAGTTTCAGATAAAGTTCCTCATAAAATTTGTGGCGGCATCTTTTAACATGATGATTATTTTTATTAAGCTCGCACACGACCCGATTATATATATATATCATATGTACTAAAAATCGTGTTTATTGGTTATAATAGTTTACCATCGCCAAAGAAGTGAGAAGCATGAACTTCGCGCAAAGATGCCGCCGTATTTTATATGCGTTTGTTTATCACGGCCACATATGGCGGTAGCATGTGTGCTGAAGTCTTCTCGAGTCGTAACGATAAACAGAAACAGACTTTTACTTCGCCACATATCGTGTGAGAATGAAAAACCTTAAAGCCCTTTTTTTCAAATCGGTATACAAAAAAGTTTTTCCGTGTGGACAAAAAATTTAATTTTACTCTCAACATATGTATATGTGTTAAAAAGATTCTTTGGTTCAGATTTTGATGTGGGTTTAGATTTTTTGGGGTTTCATGGGATGAATTAAAGATATACCAATAGCAGAGGTCTATTAATATCCAAAAACCCGGGAAATACACTCCGCGCCAGTGTCGGTAGTTAAACCGCAATAAATCTAATTTTACACAACGACCTTATATTAAATCTTCGTTTTCTTCCTTTTTTTTGCAGATTATCAATATGGACCAGGCTTCCCTGGACTTGGACTCCTAAATCCATGGTTGGATGCTGCATACCTTGGTCATGCCTGGCACCTGCCTCATCCGGCTCTTGTCAAAGGTAAGCAAAAAAAGAATTCTATTTTTCGTACTGCGATATCGATTCAACGTCTGCTCTGATGAATCATACGCACTGGACCCGAGGGGAGAATTTATTCCCTTCCTTTTTCTCTAGAATAAATCTCCTTCAAAAATTCACATTTAATTAACAATTTTTCTTTTTCTATGATTTCAGGTACGATGCCAATGCCACATACGGATTTATTTGCTCCGAGTTTCACGTCAAGTGTGATGCCATCATATCCATTTGTCGATCCAATGAAATACGAATATCCACAATTACCGCCAAAGACGACAACATTGATGTTACCCAATAGTCCATCAAGAACACCACCACGTAGTCCAAGTGACAGTGGAAGTGAATCGGCAGCTGAAGAAGTACGAAGTGCCTTTGTGCCAATTCGTCTCAATACATTGCCGTCAGTTAATTCTCTAACACCATCTTCATCATCACCCGAGAGGACAACGACCCTATCATCATCAAAGAAACCATCAGATGGCACAAGAAATGAATTAAAAGCACCAGTTGCACTCATCAGTCATCGTTTATTAAACAATAAAAGAAGTTCATCACCAACAAAAATCTCATCGCCACAAGCACCAAAACCAGTTTGGAGGCCGTACTAGGATTCAATAAATTACCTCGATCCAGGATGAACTGGAAAATTTAAGTTAACAAAAAAAAAAAGGCTAGTGATACTCAACGCTTGGCGTTGTTGCATTATTTTTTAACACTGTTTCAGGCCCAAATTGTATAGGAAATAATTTTTGCTTTATATTTTTCAAAAATATAAAATTTCATTTCAATTTGTGAATAATTAAGCCTCCTTTTAAAAACAGTGCAAATTATCTTCGGTTTTACGAAGACTATATGGTGATGAGAAATTTTTTGTGATGCTCGGGTCAAATAAAAATTGACGTGTAAATATATATATATATAAAAAAAGAAATAACTGTACATATTGTAAATAATTCATGGACAATAAGATATATGAAAAAAAGCAAATATATATATATGGAAACGTATACGTGAGAGAAAAACTGGGAAGAGAGAGTGCAAAAAGATTAAATTGTATAATTAGCGTCCATAAGTCAAGAGATTTAATTTATAATGTATAAAGAGATATTATAAAAAGAATTATAGATGAGATGTGGGAGAAAATAAATAAATCTATGTGAAACACAATTATTGTTTCTTAATTCAACAAATCCTTTTAGTAAATAAAATTATTTAACTAGAGTTCTAATATAAATATAAGAGGTGACAGCGGTGGGATTTCTCGTAACTTTTCGAAACTCGGTTTCTTAATTTAACAAACCCATTTGGTAAATAGAAATTATTTCACTAATTTTTAAGAGATCGTTGTACAAGGTGACAGTGGTGGGATTTCTTGCAATTTCTTAATTAAAAACCCTTTCACTAAATAACATAATTTGTGTATAACTTTTGAGTTCTAATACTGTTCAAGGTGACAGCGGTGGGATTTCTCGTTTTCTTTTTCTTTGCTTCACTTTTTAAAAAAATTTAATACGTTGTTGTGACAGCGGTGGGATTTTTTGCAAACTACTATTTCTTAATTCAACAAAGAATCACTAAATAAAATCATTTAACTAACTTTTAAGAGCAGTTATCTAATTCAAATAAGTTGGTCAAGGTGACAGCGGTGGGATTTCTTGCAATTTCATTTCTATTCTAAGGGGGTTTTTTTTTTCAAAATAAATCTACACTAATTTAAAAAAAGAGATGAAGAAAAGTTTCATTCGAATGAAATCTTGCTCTTATAAATAATATACAGAGGGGGTATAGAGAAGCGATGAAAGAGAATTGAAACAGCGTTTCGTGCCACTGCAAGGGGATTCATATTTTTTTTTTTCTGTCGCGATTTAAATCTGAATGGTTGCATGGCCACAGTCGTTTTGAGCGCTTCTAGCTTCTATATATATGTGTGTGTTTCTTCCCATACAAGGGGAACCCCAAGAGAACAGAATGGTTTATATATCGAAAGAGAATGCGTGAGATCTGTATTAGTACCTATAGAATCTTTACCAATGGTTCTCAACTCTCAGATCACGATTCTTTTTGTGGGATTCTTTACAACGAAACATCAAACATCTCGAGTTAATGGGGGTATAATCGGAACGGACACAAAAAAAAACCTTCGCGAGTAATCAAACAAGCTTTGTTTCGAATAATTACTTCGAAACTCCAATGTTTTCATTGTGAGCTGTTTTTTTTTTTTGCTTTGATCTTATTTTCCTTTTTATATATATATACAATTAATTGTGCTTTCCATATTTTCTTGATGGAAAATACCTTTATTTTAATTAATTAAAAAATTAAATATTTCTTTTATCTTCTTTTTTTTGTAACAATTTTGAAAAATAATTTATTTAAAAACTAGAAAAAGATTTCAAAATGAAAACTTGGTTTGGAGGATCAATATCAAAATATGAAAGTCAATTTTTAAAAATATATAATATAACTTAATAGTGAGATGAAGAAATGAGAACCACATTGACACCCAGCTTTAGGGGTTGTTCGTTGACAAGTAGACAACGGAGCCAAGCAACCGTGAAGGGTCGCCACATGACCCAAACCGATCCTAGCCAATCCACGTTTGCACCACCCAACGCTAACTAATGTTTGCCCAAAGAATCGCGAACGTATAATTGAGTCAGTTGCGCTTGATAAAAAAAAAAAAAAAAAAAAAATCAGTCTCGCTACTCTGGTATACATACATAACATGCTCGAATAATCGACTTTTTGTCCTCGCGTTGAATATATACCAAAATGAGAATGCAAAAAAATTAACTATCAACTATTTTGCGAAAATAAATTTAACAAACCTTTAATTTTGTTATAAACTATTTTTTTATTTTTTTCACATTCTTCAAAATAGAATATATAAATAATATTAATACGTTATTTATTAATATAATAAATATTTATCGTATATTTTAATGAATTTTAATTTTATATAATAATCGCATATTCGCAAGACTTGAAATTAATTTAGAATTCACAAAAATTCATATTTTATGAATCTATATTATTAATGTAAACTGTATTTTAATAAATTGTTTATATAAACGCTTCGCATAGAACGATTTATATTGAATATTTAAAATTAGTTTAGTAAATTGGAAATAACTGAAAATTGTAATCAAGTTATAGGAATACGAGGGAAAATTTTATTTGCAAAACATATTATATGAAATTTCAAATTTTATATATGTAATATTTTATGTTTGTATTTTAAATACTTTATAACAGAAATTAATTAAAAAATATATCCGCCTATTTTTTCTTAATATTATATATATTAAAATTACCTTTAATTAATTTGTCAAACAACTATTTTTTTTAGGTATTTCGAATTATTAAATTTTTCCTGCAGTTTTAAAAGTATTAGTCACGTGACGCGAAGGTAGCGCTCCTAGTGTTCATTAAAGGTAACACTAAACGTCGTACAGTTTCTTCTATTTTGTCGAATATATTTTACATTAATTTCTTTTTCTTGTTTGAAATTAATTTCTATTGCATATATTTAAAAATCATTTTTTAGTTTTGAAAGTTATGGCTTTCGCATTTTCCTTAAGAAAATTTTTAATAATAATTATAATAATTTGGGTTTACATTTATAAAGGCAGTAGTTATATATATATATGTGTTGAGTAGTCGATCGCACCTCTCGAACATCGAAGCTCGTTACGAGAATGACCTGGCGAGCCAGTGGTGATTCTCGTAGATCTTTATACCAGATTCAGGATCACGAGGATGCTGTGCGTGTATAGCGCACTGGTTCGGAGAGATTGAGGGTCCTAGAGTTAGGCAATCAGCGTTGATGAGGGGTGTTTACGGGGTGAGGGGTTCAGACAATTAGTAATCCTTCCCCCCTTCCTCTCTCTCTCTCTCACTCTCTTCAGCCCTTGGTCAATCCATTCGCTTGGGTTTTAGGGCACGAGAAAGGGTGAGAGAGGGCATGGTCCAACAACGCATCAACCACAGTTCTACATCCTATATATATATACGCATGCGAAAAAGAGTATCACTGTTCTCTCTCTTTCTCTCTCGTTGCGAAATGTTCACGTTTACTTTCGCGTAATCCACACACAAATATATATATATATATATGTATAACCTTCTCGCACACTTGGGCAATCGTTATATAAAACGCGAGCTCGTTACTTTTATACCTTACAAATTACCTCTTTTTTTTGTTCGCGTCATTTTTTTTCTCCAAATTCCAATCATGATTTTTTTTATTATAAGTTATATTATTATTATTATTATTTAATTATGACGATCCACGAAAAAAGGGACCTTGGGGGCAAAAAAATTTTAGGTTATGTTTGGATTGAAAAAATACAGAACACTAAACATAACCTAAAATGTTTTGCCTTTAAGGTTAAAATGTAGATGCAGTAAAAAAATTTTATTAACTATTTTTTATATTATTATATTTATATAAATATTTATATTAATTTTTATAATATTTATATCATTATTTAAATTACTATGTATATTATCATTTTGTATTTTTTTCTCAAATATTATTGCAACACGCACTAAATTTCCATGAATAATATAATTTGTTTTTGTGGAAAATTGTAAAAAAAAAAAAAGAAAAGAGAGGTTTACCAAGAACCCAATTGTTTTACCACTTGGAAACCACTTAACGCATTTTACATAAAAGCTCACGTTGTTGATTGTAAGCGAAATAGTAGAGGGGGAGGGTGGGAGTTTTCATATAGAAACACGCACCATCTTCTTGTTGGTACTCTTTAATACCACGACTTACGTGTAAAAACCTGGATTTTTTTTTTTTTTTTGAATCGATAACCGATAACGAGGTCGAAGTCGTTCGACTTTGTGTATTGGGATGCAAAGCAGCTCGTTAAGCCACCAGTAAGGTCGCGTGCGAGCGTCTCAATTTCTATCTCACCCTATTCTTTTTTTTTCCTCTCTTTTTACCCTCTTACAACTTTTCTGTTTCCTTGGGTCTCTCTTTTCCTTCTTTCTTCTTTTAGTGAAGAAAACGACATTATTTTCTATTCCCGAGTTTTTACCACCGCACGAAGAGAGAGGGTCTTTGAAACTTGTGAAGATGAGGGTCGAAAGTGTCTCCTTTTCTCTCTCTCTCTCTCTCTCTCTTACAAAAGCGGGCTTATTATTTCCCAAGTTTTTATCAATCGCGGTCGCAATGAACCTCGGATTTTTTTTTTCAAACCCTCAATTGGTCGATTTTGTCGAGAATACTTATTTCAATTTTATATTATATGTAAATCTTGTAAATTAAAAAAAAATCAAATTTTATATTTTCATAATTTAAGAAAAAAAAATTCTCATCGTCTTTGGTAAGAAAAAAAAAAGAGTAATAAACCACAAAAAAAATTTGTTTTTCTCAGTCAACATTAATAAAAACTACTGTGGGACCATTTTTGGGACATGAAGTTTCGTCCTCTTGAAAAGTTGTATATAATAAAACTTATGGTTTTCAGGTTTCTTGACTTTTGAGGCTCTCTATTTTATGGGGTACAATTTAATTTTGGGTATTGATTTTACGATAGGGGTTTCCTCTCTATACCTTCCTTGCAAAAGAATATATGGAATATTTGATGTAAAAAGGAAAATTTTTGGCACAAAACTATCTAAAACCATAAAGTACACTCCAATAGTGTCATCCCTCGCAGGTCTTTCCAAGATATTTATTCTTTTCTTGACTTTTGAGGTAAAAGTTGTGGTCGTTGCATACATATCTAAAAGTCGGAATATAAAACTTTAACAATATTGTTTTTATAACGAAATAGTACCTTTTTCCCCGAGTGAATATTCAGGATTTTACTCTCTATTGCCCCCCCCCCTCCCCCATCTCCTTCTTTTTCAAAAAAAAAAAAATTTCTCTTCCAACACATTTTTCACTGCTGTGCGGTTTAAGGAGTGGAGAAAATATATATTTAATTTGCATTTTATTGGTAAAATAAAAAATTTTCTCTTATAAAAAATAATAATACAAAATTGAAAAAAAATTTAATATTTTTAAAACTAAAATTTTGTTTTCACAAATAAAAAGAAGAAATAATAAAAGAGAAATTGAGATGAATATTAAGTTAGGGTTTTTATTATTTTTTTTTTGTTTTTTTTTTTTGTTTTCTCCCTTGGAATTCTTGTGAGTGTTCGGGCGG